GCGCACAATGTTGCTGAAAACCCTACTGATCTGGAGAATGTCAAATTTAGGGCTGCAAATGTTTTAACCAGATGGAGGACAGCATGTTTACACATTTATTATGGTCACACTTGCAAGAAATGATCAATGCATAAACACACTGGCATACCGCAGGTTGCCAGATGTAAATCTGGCAACCTGCGTCATTGGAGGAAAAAAAAAAACTATTTATACTCACTGGTCACTTTATTAGGTACACCTGTCCAACTGCTCGTTAACGCAAATCTAATCAGCCAATCACATGGCAGCAGCTCAATGCATTTAGGCATGTAGACATGGTCAAGACGATCTGCGGCAGTTCAAACTGAGCATCAGAATGGGTAAGAAAGAGGATTTAAGTGACTTTGAACGTGGCATGGTTGTAGGTGCCAGACTGGCTGGTCTTAGTATTTCAGAAACTGCTGATCTACTGGGATTTTCACGCACAACCATCTCTAGGGTTTACAGAGAATGATCCAACAAAGAGGAAATATCCAGTGAGCGGCAGTTCTACAGGGCGCAAATGCCTTGTTGATGCCAGAGTAGAATGGCCAGACTGGTTCTCCAATATATATATATATATATATATATATATATATATATATATATATATATATATATATATATATATATATATATATATATATATATATATATATATATATATATATATATATATATATATATATATATATATATTAACTGTTTTTGTTAATTGAAACTAAAAAAATGTCGCATTTTAATTGGTTTTCTTAATTCTTACACATCATGTTTGTCTGAAACAGCTGGTCAGAAGTCAGACAAGAGCAGGAAAACTCCACATCTGGCCCTGAACGGCTGACACAGTTCACTCGGCATACAACTGATTTTTACTCTGAATCGCAACAGTCTGGAGTGTTTAATAACCTCAAAACGACATTACATCATGACAGGATCAAGCCTGTTGAAACACACAGTCAGAACCACACCCTGAAAACCCCTGAGACACACACACACACACACACACACACACACACGCTCACATGCACACACATACATTAACATCACTTGCAAACCCAAGACACAATAAAGACACAATAGAGCTGCGCACATGACTTAAAGGTGTTAAATTCCAAAAAATTTTAGCATTTTTTCCCTGAACTTCACTTGCAAGGGTCATAAAAGTTTCCCGATTCAGTGCTGGTTGGTCTTTAATAACTTTAAATGCATAATTATATAAGAAACTAACTAACTGACTTAGATAGATAGAACAGACAGAATGATAGAATGGATAGAATGATAGAAAGAGAGCCGATAGAACAATAGAATAGATAGAACGATAGAATAAATAGAACGAATAGAGCGATGGACGGATAGAATGATGGACAAATGGACGGAAGGATAGAAAGAACAATGGATAGAATGAACCATGGATGGATGGATAAATGGATGGATGGATAAACGGATGGATGGAATGATGGATGGATGGATGGATGGATGGATGGATGGATAGAACAAAGGACGGATGGACGGATGTAGCAATAGAATGATTGATGGATGGATGGAACGATAGATAGAATGATAGATAGAACAGATAGAATGATAGAATAAATAGAAAAACAGAACGTATAGGACAATAGAATAATTGATAGATGGAATAGATTGAACTACAGAACGATAGTATAGATAAAACAGATAGAACGTTAGACGGACAGAATGATGGATGGACGGACAGATGGGCGGAAGGATAGTTAGAACAATGAACAGATGGATGGATGGATAAATGGATGATAGATAGAACGATGTATGGACAGATGGAGAGATGGATGGATAGACAGAACGATGGATGGATGGATAGATAGAACGATGGACAGACGGACAGATAGATGGATAGAACAATGGACGGATGAACAGACGGATGGATGGATAAATAGAACAATGGACTGATGGATAGATTGAACGAAGGGTGGATGGATAGATGGATGGATGGGTGAATGGATGGATGGATGGATGAGAGGGATGATAGAACTATAGAATGATAGAACTACAGACAGACAGACTGAACAAACAAACAAACGAACGAACGAACGAACGAAAGAAAGCTAAAAGAAAAGAAGAATAAGAAAATGTATATTTTAAATATGCTATTGATTTAAATAAATAATAAATAATGAAACAGTTGAGAGAAACAGAAGCACAAGTGTTTCCTCAATAATGTCACTGAATGTTAAGTGCACTTGATCTTTTACCTACTTTTCTACAGTCATGAGTGATTTAACAGTTCTTCCCTTTTCTCTCTTTTTTTCTTTGTAAGTGTTTGTGAATTTTCCAGGCAGTTTGAGAGTAATAATAGTGTCTCTGGGTGCAGTGTGATGAGCTGCTGTACAGAGTCTTACAGTAGCGACGATTCTCTTGACGGCAGCGGCTGAAAGCTCTTCTCCTTTGGGTTCCTCCACCAGCGTCATGCCCAGATACTTCAGCTGAAACACCATCCCCTCCAATAGCGTCTCCCGTGTGTCCGTCCAGTTCTCCGGCAGCTCTACACAAACACACACACAGACAGTTAATTTAATGGAACTTCAGATTTCCACTAACATATTTTCTTCTTTGTATGCCATGTTGTTTTCATTTTGATTCTATATGCAGCATTTTAGTAATGGAAAAAGTGCAATTTATATTATTATTATGCATTAATATTTATGAAGACCATACTTCCATTCACATGCACACACACACACACACACAGGATTAGCATGCACACATGATGCAAGCAGGACCCAAAACATGGCAACACAGACTACAGATGGTGAATCTCTCAAAATCTTCAGGTCACATTTCTCACAGCTCATAGGCTATTTTGTGACTTTAGAGATCTCTGCATTGTGATCTTTGTGTGTTTATTATATTATATTATATTATATTATATTATATTATATTATATTATATTATATTATATTATATTATATTATAATATTATAACAAAAATAAAATTAAAAAATAATAGAATATAATATTATATTATATTATATTATAAAATATAATATATTATATCATATTATATTATATTATATTATATTATATTATATTATATTATATTATATTATATTATATTATATTATATTATATTATAATTAAAATTACAATAAAATATTATAATATAATATTCTAATATAATATAATACGATAAAATTATATTATGATATATTATAGATTAAGAGCTATGCTATTATTATCATATTATATTATATTATATTATATCACATTATATTTCATTATATTATATTTTATTATATTACATTACATTACATTACATTACATTACATTACATTACATTACATTACATTATATTATATTATATTATATTATATTATATTATACAGTAAATTATATATTGTTAATAAATATACACAAATATGGTATTGGGGTATATTGTAATGATTACGCGTTTTCAATCAATCAATCAATCAGGACTTTGTCCCATACACTTCGTATAGTGAAATTGGACCCCCGACCATACACAAACATCACATTTCAGCACTGACACCATCTTCTCGACGAGAAGTTTGTGCTTTCCTTTGTTCTGTTTTCCCGCCATTTTTAGTATTCATCAGTTCCACCTTTGTTTACACGCTGGTTTGTTATTAGTTAATCATGTCTAGTGTATTTATGATTCTTAGTTTAGGTGGTTCTTTGTCCGGCCGCATTCACACTAGAGCTTGTAAAATGCTGTCATAGTACAGTACAGTACAGTACAGTGAAAAGGAATGGGATTAAACAAGACAATTCGACATTATAAAAGCTAATAACTTAACACGAAGTTAATCAAAATATGGAAATTGGTCCATATTTTACATTTCTGTCAATTAGAAATTTTGTCAACCCGGAGGAAACCCACGCGAGCGCAGGGAGAACATGCAAACTCCATACAGAAATGCCAACTGACCCAGCCGAGGCTCGAACCAGCGACATGACAGAGTTACCTTGCCACCAACTTTAATATTAATGTACGCAATTGCAATGCCTTGATTATAGTAAGGTGAGCACACAGTCATAGCCATAAATGCAATGGGACTAAGAATCGGCATAGTTTATTTTGGTGTTTCTGCCTTGCTTTCCTCTTTTTCAGTTTTTAGTTTTGGACAAGAATTTTCATTTCGGTGCATCCCTAATCTCCATATGAAACCCATCACACAATCCTTCATTAAATGACACCGTCTTCAATCAGGTCTTTCTTTCATCGTCTGCTCTTTGATCAACACCTGCGCAGAAACAACCTTTGTTTACATGAAAGCTTATTAAAGCACAACTGAGATTAAGGTGTGTTTATGTCCATAATAAAAGATACCGTCCGCAATCTGAGGATAAAAAAGGTCCACACAACAAAAAATGTGCATATGCTGGTTTTGAATTAATTTGTTAAAGAAGTTATTTGATTGACAGGCGATCCAGCCAGATATCCTAAGACTGAGGTCAAGGACAAACCAAAGAGCACCTCCAATAAAATACAGCCTTGTTTAAAGCATCTCAGCATGAGGGCAAGAAAGCAAGATAATCAAAAGAAAGCAGAAAAAAGTGATAAATATTGAAAAAATAAGCAAGCACAAGTAAAAAGTGAACAATGTCAAACTAAAGCAAAAAACTACAGAGGTCAACAGAAGACAAATGCAACTCTAAGTCAGAAAACGAGCAGATCAGATTGCTGTAGGTTTTGTGACGAATAAAAGGACATTATTTTCTGTATGTGCCTGTAGTTTGTGCGCACGTGTGTTGTTAATGGACTAACAAATTAAAGATTGAACATGCAAAAATAGGAGAAAATAAAAAAGTTGCAAGCCAAAAAAAGAAGAGAAAGAAACATAAGGAAGAAGCAAAATAATAAGCAAAATAACATGGTTATATGAAAAGTAACAAACAATTGAAAGAACAAATTAAAAGAACAGACAAAAAAATGAAACAACAGATAAAACACAGAAAATATGAATAAATGACTAAAAAACAAAGCATGACAGATAAAAAGAATGAAAAGATAAATGTGAAACAAACAAACAAACAAACTAACTAACTAAAAGAACTAACTAAACTAACTGACCAATTAAAGATTACGCAAAAACACAAGAAAATGGAACCAGATAAAAAGAGTGAAAGAAACAAATGAACGAACAAATAAACAAACAAATGAACGAGCAAAATCAAAAAGATGACGAAAAAGAAAAACAAAAAAAGAAAGAAAATCTTAAGAAGAAGCAAAAAAAGAAAGAGAAAGTAATGAAAAAGAAAAAGAAAGAAGGTAAGGAGAAAGAAAGAAAGAAAGAGAAAAAAGTAAGAAAGAAAGAAAGAAAAGGAAGAGAAAGAAAGAAAGAAAGACAGAAAGAACAGAGAAAAGAGCAAGAAAAAAGAAACAAATGGAAAGAAAAAGGAAAGAAAGTGAAATGAAAACAAAAAACAAAAGAAAAAAGAAAAAAACGAAAGAGAAAGAAAAAAAGAAAAAAGTAAGAAAGAAAAGAAAGAAAGAAAAGGAAGAGAAAGAAAGAAAGAAAGAAAGAAAGAAAGAAAGAAAGAAAGAAAGAAAGAAAGAAAGAAAGAAAGAACAGAGAAGAGAAAGAAAAAAGAAACAAATGGAAAGAAGGAAAGAAAGTGAAAAGAAAACAAAAAACAAAAGAAAAAAGAAAGAAAAAGAAAAGAAAGAAAGAAAGAAAGAAAGAAAGAAAGAAAGAAAACAGAAAAAAGAGAAAAGAAGAAAGAAAGAGGACTGTGCAAAAATATGTAAAATGGTAAACAAAGGAATGAACGAACAAATGAAAGAACAAATCCAAATAACAGACAAAAAATAAATGAAACAAAGGATAAAAGAGTAAAAATAAATCAAAGAACTAAAAATAAACAAATTACAAAAGACGAAGCATGAAAAAACAAAAAACTAAAGAAAAGATCAATAATTGGGACAAACTGTCCAAAAACCAAACAAAACCAAAAACAAACAAGCAGATGAAGCAAAAACAAGCAAGAGCAGAAACGCAGCAGAGCGCAGCGAATGATGATATCCCGTCCTGCATAAACACGGCTCATTTGTTCATTAGATCTGCTTCATGATGGACAATCCATCAGTGAATCTGCAGGCGAGGGTTTAAGCACGCGACACATGCATGAGATGAAAATGGATATTGATGTTTGCTGATTTCATGAATGATTCATGGCTGTTTGGCTGACAGGTGGTCTCTGAAACCCCCATCACAGATCAAACTAGCGTCGCCCCATCATTCTGCCTTCAAAACTCAGCCTTACAGCCCATAATCGCTCCTCCCCACTGGGACGAATCAATGAGCTCAAATACATGCACCAAAAAAACAGCGCTTGGTGGAAATCAGCAAGGCTCAGGATTATATTGTGATTTAAAATGCTGTAAATGAGTGTAAAGCTCATCATTGAGTATATCGAGGCTGCACCAGTGTTGCTCAACCACGTTCCTGGAGGACCACTGCATGTTTTGGATGTCTCCTTTGTCACACCCTTTACAGGTCTTCCAGTCTCTGTTAATGAGCTGATGATCTGAATCAGGTGTGTTTGGCTAAGGAGAATGTGCTGCTCCCCAATTCGCATACTATCCACCCTAAATAGTATTTGAAAATAGTTACTTAGTAGGGGTGTCACGATTTCGATTTTTAATTTTTAATCGAAATCGATCGAAATTTATGCTCAATTTCGATTATCGAATCAAAAAATAGAATCGTCGATGCTGCCACTCCCCAGGTCACGTCAGCTTGGCTTGCCAAGCAGGAAAAAAACAGGCTTGTTGAAGTGCTTGTTAAACGGCAGACGCAGGAGACCCGTCGACAGAGCTTAAACCCTCTCCTCTTTCAATGAAGTCGCCGGTGTGTAAGCATTTTGGATTTCCAGTGAGTTATGTCGACAAAAAAAACACAGTTCTGCAAGCTCTGCTATGTACGTATTATGTACAATTCGTCCGATAGAAAACACCGGCATTGCGATCCTCCATCCGCCCCCGTTGCAAATCCGCTCGCGAAAAGTACACACTCAGGCCCTGTTTACACGGTCTTTGTTTTTAAATGGCATTTTGGAACGACAACGATTTGACATCCACAGTGGCGTGTAACGTTTCTGAGCAGCCCTCCTTCCTCTCTACCTCTAAAAATGCACATCACGTGACCACACAGACACAGACGCATACACAGCCATGCGCTCGAGACAGCAGGTCCAGGCAGTCAGAGGACTGCTTCAATCTTTCACTCACTTGTACTTAGTCATTTTAGCGAACACCTCAGATACTGTTGGCTGGTTCCTGTTGGTTTGTGCGTCGTCGCCATTATAACGACACAGATCACTGCCTATTCACGAGTCCCGCAAAAAAAGTGATTGATCTTGCCTTTACTCATTTACTGTATGATTTGTTTATGGGTAAAACAAAGACCATGTAGTTCAGGTAGCCTAGTTTAAACGGTAGGCTACAAATAATTAATTGTTCATTAATTAATTAATTATTCATAATTGAAAATCGAATCGAATCGTGCCTTTAGAATCGAA